TATCTATGAGAAATATGGTGATAACTGGAGTGGTGGTAGCTCTTCCGTTTGGTTTCGACTCATGCGACAACAAGGGTTCTACGTTTCATGTGGTTAGTTTGCATTCTGAAAACCATATTATCTATAAATAAGTAATTAATACATATATAACTATAAGGCTGTAATTAAAATCATTGGCCCAAACTACAAAGCATATATCGTTGGGTTTACAAGCCAACTTCCCCCATAGATAATTTAGTTCAAGACTCAAGAATCTAGATAATAATCACGTTCATCAAACTCTCCATAAACATCATGTTTGCTTAAAACTGAAAGGAGGAAAGGCAAAAATGATCAAAGACGATAATCACTATGTCCTTATTGACTCCAATTCCTATAGGTAGTGATCGATTTTGGCTGTTTATATCGAATAAGAATATAAAAATAGCTGACTAGAACAGATAATTTCCAGCAAAAATCGTGCCCAACCTATCAATTAACGCGCGATGCCAGATGATTAATGGACTACATATGGGATTCACTAACTATCAGGGACAAAAAAGGGTTGATAAATTTGTTTAACATGCATATCCTCAATACATTAATCCTATATGTAGTTGAACCTAACAAACTTTTACATTAACCATAAACAGATATTTTCAATAAATACAAAAAAAAGAATGGAGCTTTTAAGGAATCGTTGACCAATGACATTCATGAGATGCTTGAGTTATATGAGGCAACATTTATGAGGGTGAAAGGAGAAGTTGTACTAGACGAAGCTCTTCTTTTCACAAAAACTCATCTTGAAAAACTAGCAAAGGATCATGTTCGGTGTAACTCTACTCTTTCAATACACATACAGGAGACACTAAAACATCCCATACAGAGAAGGTTGCCAAGACTTGAGGCGTTACACTACATTCCTTTCTACCAAAAACAAGCTTCTTGTAATGAGTCTTTACTTCAACTTTCAAAGTTAGGGTTCAATCTACTTCAATCCCTACACAAGAAAGAGCTTAGTGAAGTTTCCAAGTACACACCTCTTTCTTCTCTAGTTTCATATATCAATGTGTCGATATTTTAGTCTTCTCCATGTGTATTAATAATTATTGTTGTAGGTGGTGGAAAGGTTTCGATGTACCGAACAAGATACCTTATACACGGGACCGATTGGTTGAATTGTACTTTTGGGCATTAGGTGTATACTTTGAGCCACAATATTCACGTGCTAGAATTTTCTTAACAAAAGTGTTGGCAATGTCAACCTTGATTGATGATACTTATGATGCTTATGGTATTTTTGAAGAGCTTGAAATATTTACTGAAGCAGTTCAAAGGTATATGCACACAAAAGATGAACTTAAATAAGCACATTTAAGTCCTTAAGCCGAATAACTTGACCAAATTAACCAAGAAATTTGTAAAATAACTATAGGTGGTCGACTACATGCTTAGATATGCTTCCAAACTACATGAAACCAATATACCAAGGACTCTTGGATGTTTACAAAGAAATGGAAGAAATCATGGCAAATGAGGGAAATGCATATCGTGTCAACTATGCCAAAGAGCTTGTAAGTTTCAACATTTGTCATTTCTTATAATCTTTTTAGTTAAGATAATTTCAGATGTTAGTAGTTGATGCCTACAGATGAAAGAGTTTATTAAAAGCTACATGTCCGAAGCAAAGTGGGTTAACGAGGGTTACATACCGTCTATAGAGGAGAACATGTCAAGTAGATTCAAAAGTGGTGGTTATAGCATGCTTACCGCAGCATCTTTTGTTGGCATGGGGGATATTGTCTCTGACGAGTCGTTCAAATGGGTTCTCACGGATCCTCCTATTGTCAAAGCTGCAAGTGTAATTTGTAGACTCAAAGATGACATTGCCTCTCACAAGGTACATCTCTATTTTTAGAGTAAATTACAAGAATGGTCCTTATGGTTTGGGATAATTTGCACATTTGGTCCCTAACTTATTATTTAACTCGTAAGGTCTCTATTGTTTGTTATTGCTACACACTTGGTCCTATTGTTTGTTTTTGTTACGCATTTGGTGTCTTACCTAAAAAAACAATTATTTAAATAGGGAAAAATTGTAGGATAGGTAAGATAAGGAGAGAGTATAGGGTTGGGGGTATGTTTATTTAAATAAATTAAAAAGTAAATTACTGAAATCGTCCCTATGGTTTGATCAAAATTACATGTTTGGTCCCTAACTTTTTTTTTGCACTCGGATCGTCCCTGTGGTTTGATTTTATTGCATTTTTTGTCTCTTATATACATAAAGTTAAGGACCAAACACACAATTTTGATCAAACCATAGGGACGAAAAACGTAACAAAATCAAACCACAGGGACGATCCGAGTGCAGAAAAAAAAAGGTACGGACCAAACATGTAATTTTGACCAAACCATAGGTTTGATCAAGCGTGTTAGAAAAATAAGTTATGGACCAAACACACAAGTTACCCTAAACCATAGGGACCATTCGTGCAATTTACCCCTTTTTTTATTCACATTATTCATGTATAGAGATTAACATCCTTATTCAACAGCCAAAATATCTGGTGTAGTTTAGGCTAATTAATTTCGTTAATGAAAATACAGCAAGAGCAAGAAAGAATACATGTCGCATCTCTTGTTGAAAGTTACATAAATCAATATGATGTCACAGAGGAGTATGTACACGACTTGTTGTATAAGCAAGTCGAAGATGCATGGAAAGATATATCCCTTGAGGCCCTGATATGTAAAGATGTTCCAATGCCTCTACTGACGCGTGTAATCAACTTAGCACGGGTGATAGACGTATTATACGAAAATAAAAACCATTTCACAAACGTGGGAGAAGAACTTATAGAAATTATCAAATCTCTATTTGTTCATGATATGAGTATGTAACTTATGGTTCTCCGACCTAGATGCACTCCACAATTGTTTATCCGTTATTTCAATTTTCAAATATGGTTGAATAAAATAGTAAGTTATTTGTTATTGTATTACGTACCATATATGTTTATGTATTGAATTTGAACTCGTCAATGTATTTCAATCTTGCACAAATAAAATAGTATATTCTCTTACACATCCTGCCAATTACAAAGGGAATGCATTAAAACAAGTGAATAAACAAAAAATAAGGTATGGTGTTCGCTTTCTAGCCATATATTGAGTAAAAACAAATGGTACTCAAAGAAACAAAAGTCAACATCTCAAGTATCTCATTGATATATTTGGTAAAAATCAATAGTAATCAATGATTTGGAGGGTAATAACATAATTCTCTTAGAATGACACAATCATACAATCAAAATAACAAAACAAAACAAAGAGATTTAACTATGTTGGATTCTAATTGAATGACAAGCAAATCATTTGAATAAAAATCACAGGAAGATGGAAAAGAGAACAAACACAAGGCTACTACCAACAAGACTACAAACCATGGAAGCTATGCAGAAACAACATAACACTAAAAATAAATGATTTCAAATGCAGGGATAAAAGCATCAAAATCCCAGTAACAGCAACACATAAGACAAAGCCAATGCATCATGCCAAAAAAACCATGTGGACCTTCAAAATAGTTGAGACTTGAAAGAGAGCCCATGGACAAAACTGTCAAAAACCAAAAAAAAAACTTTCACGAACATTGAGAATCCGACTATAAGAACTTGACTGATTATAAAGGATGTTTTTACATAAATTTAACTTTAAGCTTTAGTTCCTAAAAAGAAAAATTGATTACACTCTAATTAAATTACAAAAAAAAAACATTTGATTATAATCAGTTACTAATTGAATACAACAATAATAACAAAATCAGAAATTGCAAAACCATTTAAAATAAATAAAAAAAATTAATTACACTCCATAGAGTTCACATAACTAAAAAATAAATAACTTACAACAATCGAAAACTGTCTCCATTAACAAGATTTGTAGAGACAAGACAAGAACAAATATAACCAGATTTATAGAAAAAAAAATGTAGACCACAGACCAATATTGTGAGAGTTGTTGTGATAGGAGATCAGAGCTGTTGATTTGCGATCTATACTGCCAAAAGACAACTCGGAATTCGCATCGCTCTAGTGAATCTCCTATTGTCGATTCGTTAAGGGCGTGAAGAATGAATTGACATGTCTCCTCGTCTTCTGTTCTACCATACGCGTCCATTCCTCCTAGTTTTTTTGCTTGCCGCCTTCAACTCAAGCTCCCCTATAAAATTATGATACGGGATCCACAAAATTAAAAGAACGAGATGAATTTTTAACATATATTCACACTAACCAGGATTAGAATTATGCCCCCAAAAAATTGATGCCCTGGGCTGCCGCACATGCATTCGGCCGGCCCTGCGTATATATTACACAAGTTAATTAAACAAAGTTAATTATGAAAATTTGTAAATGATGAATAATTTACTTTTTAGTTGGCAAGTTCATATATTATACGAGATGATTAAAAAAATAATCAAGTATAAACTTATGTTATTAAATATGAAATTGATATTCAATTTCCCAAATGATTACTAGTATTGGTGTGAAAGGTAATGACGATATTCATAACATTATAAATTAAAACTAAAAGTTATTTCCATATAAAATACAGTTGGATAAAATGGTTTCCTTGATGAGCATACATCATAAATATAAGAATTATAAGAATTCATAAAAGGGAGGTTATTATGTACATAATTAACATATTAATAATATTAATTATTATGAGGTGCCATTTGTTATGTGGCATTTGAATAAAAAGGAAAAAAAGATAAAAAGTGACAAATGGATAATAAATCATTTAAAATAATTAGAAAATGACAAATTTCTAACTACATGAGAAGATAACATATGAAATAATGAATTTTGATTTATTAAAGTAGATTGTACAAATTAATTTAAAGTGCATGGTGTGATAAAAAAATCTACTTACTAAGACTATAAATATCCATGAACTCTTATGTTATTACCAAACCAAACTAAATTCAAAGATATAAATTGTCACATGATAACATGCCTCTTAACCACGAGGAAGTTGTTCGTCCCACTACCAACTTTCATCCCAACGTTTGGGGGGACCAGTTTCTAATTTATGAAGAGGTGCGTACAATTTTTTTGTATGTGCTTTTTTATTACAATCTAATTAATATTGATTCATGACGGAATGTAGCAAACTGAGGAATTTTTTTTCTATGTGCTTGTTTATTACAATCTAATTAATGGTGATTCATGATGGAATGTAGCAAGCTGAGGAATTTTTTGTATGTGCTTGTTTATTACAATCTAATTAATGGTGATTCATGATGGAATGTAGCAAGCTGAGGAAGATGACATAAATCGAATTGTCTGTGATCTGAAAGAAGAAGTGAGAAAAGATATACTAGCAGCTTTATATGTTCCAATGGAACATACGAAACTTGTAAAACTAATCGACACAATCCAACGTCTTGGAATAGCCTACTATTTCGACCAAGAGATTAAGCAAGCCTTGCAACATATCTATGTGAAATATGGTGATAACTGGAGTGGTGGTAGCTCTTCCGTTTGGTTTCGACTCATGCGACAACAAGGGTTCTACGTTTCATGTGGTTAGTTTTTTTTTTTTTTCATGTGGTTAGTTTGCATTAAAACCATATTATCTATAAACAAGTAATTAATACATATATAACTGTAAGGCTGTAATTAAAATCATTGGCCCAAACTACAAAGCATATATCGTTACAAGCCAATTTCTCCCCTTAGAAAACTTAGTTCAAGACTCTAGATAATAATAATGTTCATCAAACTCTCCATAAATTAACATCATGTTTGCTTAAAAGTGAAAGGTTGAAAGGCAAAATGATCAAAAACGATAATCACTATGTCCTTATTGACTCCAATTCCTATAGGTAGTGATCGATTTTGGCTGTTTTCATCGAATAAGAATATAAAAATTGCTAACTAGAAAAGATAATTTCCAGCAAAAGTCGTGCCCAGCCTATCAATTAACGTGTGATGCCAGATGATTAATGGACTACATATGGGACTCATTCCTTTACTTTAACTTTCTGGAACAAAAAAAGTTGATAAATATTTGTTTAACATGCATATGCTCAATATATTAATCATATATGTAGTCGAACCTAACAATCTGTTATATTAACCATAAACAGATATTTTCAGTAACTACAAAGAAAAGAATGGAGCTTTTAAGGAATCGTTGACCAATGACATTCATGAGATGCTTGAGTTATATGAGGCAACATTTATGAGGGTGAAAGGAGAAGTTGTACTAGACGAAGCTCTTCCTTTCACAAAAACTCATCTTGAAAAACTAGCAAAGGATCCTGCAGTTCGGTGTAACTCTACTCTTTCAATACACATACAGGAGACACTAAAGCATCCTATACAGAGAAGGTTGCCAAGACTTGAGGCGTTACACTACATTCCTTTCTACCAAAAACAAGCGTCTTGTAATGAGTCTTTACTTCAACTTTCAAAGTTTGGGTTCAATCTACTTCAATCGCTACACAAGAAAGAGCTTAGTGAAGTTTCCAAGTATATATACACCTCTTTCTTCTCTAGTTGCATATATCAATGTATCGATATTTTAGTCTTCTCCATTTGTATTAATCAATATTATTGTAGGTGGTGGAAAGGTTTCGATATCCCGAATAAGGTACCTTATACACGGGACCGATTGGTTGAATTGTACTTTTGTGCAGTTGGTGTATGCCCTGAGCCACAATATTCATGTGCTAGAATTTTCTTAACAAAATTGTTTGCAATGTCAACGATGATTGATGATACTTATGATGCTTATGGTATTTTTGAAGAGCTTGAAATATTTACTGAAGCAGTTCAAAGGTATATGTACACGAAAGAGGGACTTAAATAAGCTTAATTATGCCGAATAACTTGACCAAATTAACCAAGAAATTTGTAAAATAACTATAGGTGGTCGACTACATGCTTAGATGTGCTTCCAAACTACATGAAACCAATATACCAAGGACTTATAGATGTTTACAAAGAAATTGAAGAAATCATGGCAAATGAGGGGAATGTATATCGTGTCAACTATGCCAAAGAGTTTGTAAGTTTCAACATCTGTTATTTCTTATAATCTTTTTAGTTAAGATAATCTTAGATGTAGGTAACTGATGCTTACAGATGAAAGAGTTTATTAAAAGCTACATGACAGAAGCAAAGTGGGTTAACGAGGGTTACATACCAACCATGGAGGAGAACATGTCATATAGATTAACAAGTTGTGGCTATAGCATGCTTACTGCAGCATCTTTTGTTGGCATGGGGGATATTGTCTCTGACGAGTCGTTCAAATGGGTTCTCACGGATCCTCCTATTGTCAAAGCTGCATGTGTAATTTTTAGACTCAAAAATGACATTGCGTCTCACAAGGTACATGCATCTCTATTTTTATTCACATAGTTGTTGTACAACGAGATTAACATCCTTATTCAACAGCCAAAATATCCGGTGTAGTTTAGACTAATTAATTTCGTTAATAAAAATACAGCAAGAGCAAGAAAGAATACATGTCGCATCTCTTGTTGAAAGTTACATGAAGCAATATGATGTCACCGAGGAGTATGTCCATGACTTGCTGTATAAGCAAGTCGAAGATGCATGGAAAGATATATCCCTTGAGACCCTCATATGTAAAGATGTTCCAATGCCTCTACTGACGCGTGTAATCAACTTAGCACGGGTGATAGACGTATTATATGAAAATAAAAACCATTTCACAAACGTGGGAGAAGAACTTATAGAAATTATCAAATCTCTATTTGTTCATGATATGAGTATGTAACTTATGGTTCTCCGACCTAGATGCACTCCACAGTTGTTTATCCGTTATTTCAATTTTCAAATATGGTTGAATAAAATAGTAAGTTATTTGTTATTGTATAACGTACCATGTTTATGTATTGAATTTGAACTCGTCAATGTATTTCCATCTTTCACAAATAAAGTATGCTTTATGATTTTTGCTTCATGTTTTCTAAGATCTCGTATTTTGAGTTAATGGCTGCAGCTCTTGCTAGCCCTTTATACTTGTCCCAATTTGGTTCTACAAACAAATGCAATGAAGAAATCTTGTTTTCAAACCATGATGAGTTGAAGGAAGAGTGTTGTTTTCTTGGAAAGTATTGGCTTCAAAGTTAGAATTATATTCGATGCTTGGTCGAAACCTTTTAGAATTACCTGAATGTAAACAATTGTAATTTATACAAGAATTCATGTGCTGTGAAGAGAGATGAAAAAAAGTTTTTTAGTGAAAGACTGCATAATTTAAGAGGCGATCAACAGTAAATTCAAACCCAAGGCCACCCAACATTTTGGCAATACCACTTGTGATTCAATGGCTTCAGTTGAAGAAATCTGAGTAGAAAGTTCTGGTGTGAAGGAGGGAATAAATTAGTGGCCGTTGATAAGAAGTTTGATCGGATTTTTTTACCAGAAGTCATTAAGGACTTTCATCGAACATGTTATATGCATATAGCGTTCCAATTTTGTAGCTGGACTTCCAATTTGGGGGACCGATGGTATACAGGGAAGAGGTTTACTCCAATGATTCTTAGGCTTACTGATTCAATCGCAACTGAGAAGACACCAACGATGAACCGAAGGTGGAAACGATCTTCAGTAGTAAGGCGGAGTCGATCCGGCAGCAATCGTGTTCTACCGGTGTATCCTAACCGGCATAGTTCGCCACATCTCCAGCGTCGGCGCACGCAAATAGCTAGATTCCATGACCTTGTGGTATTAATCGCATGAAGCAAGAAAGCAAGAATCAATTGGAGAAAGAAACGGTAGCGGAGGTGGGTGGCACATCCACTGCTGCCTATGTCGGTGGAGTTGGAGGTCTGGACGAAAATGGAGATAAAGAAGAAGGCGGTGAAATATTAACCGATGATATAGCGGTGCAAAAACTGGACGAGAGGGGTGGTCGACACTGTTCACATAAACTAACCCAGGTAGAGTAACCCGAAGACGAAGGCGGGATCCTTTGGATATTGTAGTGTCGACATGCTATGGTCATGAAAAGATAATAAGATATTAGTACTAGATAGTAAATAGTCACTAAATTATAAAATTGAAAAAATATTAGTGATTAAAAAATAATGGTCATTAGTTGATGAAAAAATTATAATCTCCTTTTACCTATGACAAATTATAATTTGTCTATGTGAATTTAATTTTAACCGAATATTTCCTAAACAAGTATGAGAAAAGATATCATTGTATAAACTTATACCAGCATTATGTATATAGAATTCAATTCAAAATATTAGATATAAATTTTGTCTAACTAGGTGTGAAACCCCGCGGAGCGGGGTTCGGTTGAGACCAGTAAAGTATGTTGCTATTGTCTACAATTCGCTTATTTACAAATACATAATAGTCAAATATGTTGTAGTATGGCACCAATTGTACAATATTCCTTTGTAAAGTATGTTGTTGAATTGTTGAAGTACAATATGTTCAAATGGAGAACATTTTCTAAGATCAAAATAACAACATATTTTAACCGGACCAGACTACTACTCAACTGATCCCTTTAAATGTTTTTCCTGGATGTTTACATTGACCAAAAAAACCTGCAGCCTACAAGTGGGGAAAAAATGTGTTAATGCAATAAATAGCAACATGCTTCCTATTGGAGCATTGTACTTTGGAAATTTTATTCAGTTATAGGAAGTAAAAGTCTACCTACAAAATATATGTTTGTTTTAACAAAAAAAAAAAAAACAGGTCATTAAAACCCAAATAAGATTATAACAATTTTAATCTTTATCTGTAATTACCATTATTAAAACAACCATTATGGTTAAAATAGTATTTTGTTTTATGTGATAACTATTTATAAAACAAATTAATAAAATTGATGTTGATACCGAAATTGTGATGTTAAATATGAAAAAAGCATAGTAAATCACTTGCACTTTCATGGTTGTAAGCATAATTGAAAAGCATAGTAAATCACTTTCACTTTCATGGTTAAGGAATTGTGTTTTAGAAAACATACCCGATTATGATATTATACTCTAGAATTGTAGTCATCTCATATGGACGCTATTATCTAATGTTATGTGGTGTATGTTACCTAACCATAAAGTTCATACCGGTGAAATGCTGTAAAAGAAGTTGAACATAATAAGTAATAAGTACTGTTAACTACATTCAACAGTTATAGTGTTCTAAAATTTTTATATTTATAATTTAGAAATAAAAGGGATTCCCCGTGTTGCGGGGTTAGAAGGTATTGCTTTTGTGTGAAATTATGGTAATACTGTCGGAATTAGTGCTATTCTGAATGTATGATATTTTCTTATAAAACAATGTTACCTTCAATGTAAAGGAATCACAACAGAAGGGCAATTTCATCACAGTGAAAGGAATCACAACAGATTTGATTATAAGTTATCTAAGTCTTGAGTGTCCATTGTTAAAAGATCACAGGGGCATTTTGGACAAAAAAAATGTTGGTCACTATTTTTTACCAAAAGAACAGTATGTAGTGGCATTTCGGTCAAAACTGTAAAAATCATTATTTTTTTAATCGGAAAAACAGTATGCATAGTCACTTTCGACAAAAACTGTCAAAATCACTATTTTTTTTAAAAACAATATGTAGTGTCAGTCTGGACAATAACTCTACACTTTTGCTGCCCAGATCCTTTAGTGGGAAGCGTACGTTTAATTTTATTATAACCAAATGAATCGTTAAGACATGCCTTTTAAAAAAGCTGAAAGCATATCACTGATACATGCTCAAAAATACAAATAAGAAAAATTATAGTCTGAAAGACAACTTTATGATTGTTGACAGTTAGTAGAACAAATCTGCATCAAATTCTGGTGAAATTAAAACTAAATTAGCTACAGGTGATGTATTAATTAAAAAACTTACATAAAATGTTGTATAATAATCCATCTGCTCAATAGCATCCTCAAACCTGCCAACTTTGAACAAAAAAAAAAAGTATCTAATAAGGGACGAATGAGTTTCTTCAAACCTGCCAACTTTGAACAAAAAAAAAAAAGTATCTAATAAGGGACGAATGAGTTTCTTTTTTCATAGAACATGTGTCTCCAAAAGTGGAATAAGGAATATGAAATTCGGTTGTGAAAACCTCTGGCAGTAGCATTTCGGCGACACCCAACATGGCCGACCTCTCGTTCACAAACTCAGATTGGACGAATCACTTCAGATTCTCCCGCTCCTCCGCTAGACCCATTGGGTCAGACCCGTTTGTCACCTGGAAGATTGAAATTAAACATGGTTTTAGTTCTACAGTTAGTTCATGGATTGGGGTTTTTAATTGGGAATTTTTGAAGCTATGTTTACCTTCCATCGAAGTAACCATGTGAGGATAACCCCGAGGAGAAAAGGAAGCGGGTGAGAGAGTGTTTGCAGGTTTGAGTGATACTTGTTTGAAATCAGCAGTTGACGGTGGAAGGAGGAGGTGAAGTAGACATAAAGATAGGACGACGTCGACAAACTCTTCTATTGGCGGTTTAGTCCTAAAAATGAAGAATCAATTGATCAGAGAATTGCAATTCATTTAAGAAATTAGCATATAGAATTAACAATTAACAAAGATCAAAATAAAACAAACATTAAGCTTACCGCTAGCAGCTGATAATCGAATCTAGGTTTCGATGCAATTCAGAGAAGAAAGAGGCGGTTGTGTGAAGGTGAGTAACGGAATAGACAGAGTTGGTGTTGAGCGATCGCGTGTAGGATGGTGGTGGTGAGACCATTTTCAAGTTTAACGGAGAGGTAATCTACAGAAGAAAGCGATCGATAAAAACACAGATAAAAAGAATTACACGTATAAAACTTTTATTTTTCTGCCAACTTGATTCTTCTTATTCGCTATTGATTTAAACTTTTTCAATCAATTCAGAATTACACTTAATCTTATGAGTATAATCATATTTACTAAACTTTTAGTAAACCATGACAAATATCTTGTTACTCTTATGGTGGACTTTGACCAACACACAACTTTGTGTACTCGATCTCCTAGTCTCTCACTTAACACTTTGTCAATGAATTAGTCTAATTTCCAAATATGAAATATCTCATTCTTCGTGCAACCAAGTTGCATGATTCCAAATTTCTGTCCAATTGAAACTTGGGCGATGAGAAGCTCTCCCTATTTGGTAAATTCTCAGACTTTTTCCATAAACACCATAAATAAGAATCATATCCATTTGTTGTAGAAATATTCAAACATCAATTTTCATAACGATTTCATTGCAAGGAAGTAAAAAATAAATAAATAAGTCAAACCAAAATTTATTTTATTTATAAAAGTAGCGGAAAACATTTGTCCTTACAATGCAAAATCCATTGAAAACTATGTATTTCAAAAGAAAATTTCTAACAACTCTATCATAACTATCTAAGCTCAAAATCTAATCTTCAAGTCCATGCGATCAAGATCCATTTCTTGTGATTAGATTCATCTTGCTCTTTCACCAAGCTTCCTTTCTTTTCACCGATCCTGCAAAAACATTCAAATGCAATCTTATCACATCATGTATTTTGAATCAATGAATAGGAACTTAACGAAGTTAGATAGTGGATTTTACCTGAAGCGCAGTCATACTCTTTGACTCTCCCATCTTTGGAATTTTCAGGCTCTTGGGCAGACTTCTATCCAACGCCCTTTCTCTTGGCAGCAAACGCAGTCGCTTCTCTTGAACGTCCTCGGAAGCATGGTCGGTTGACTTTCCCAACAAATACGCTCCATTGCTTCGCCAAATCATTTCTGATTCAGCAGCAATGAGCATGTAAGTTAGGTCAATGGTTGTCGTCATGATCCATCATATAATACTTTCTTTTGAACTCATTATATGATTCAGGAAGTGACTGCAAAACCCAATTTACAGCCAACTCATTCGGGAATGACACACCCAACATTATCAACCTATCAATGTGTGATTTCATTCCTAGAACGTGGGCACACACGGGTTTACCATCTTCATGTTTCATTTCCAATAGGGCTTTAGTGATGTTGAACCTTTCAATTCTTCGATCTTGTGGGTTAGGGAGAACAATTGGAGGAGGTGGAGGAAGTGAAGCATGATATCTTGTTCCTCGATCGAATCGTGGAATACCATCTTCATGTGGAATGCTTGTTCCACGGGATTTGGGAAGACCATAGTTGTCGAACTTTGACATCTACAAAACGGGAGAAAACGAATTCAAGTTAGTTGATCGATTGAGTCCTTAGTAAATCACCCAAATGAGATACTAAGGCTAGGACCCAACACAATACGCTACAACCTAAAAAGGGATGCCGTAATCTAGTTGCAGAATATTTGAAGGTAAGTGAATGACGATTCACTAATTTCCACCATGAAAAACGAAAAAGAAATTTAAGTTTTAAATCTATGAAAACTCCTAGATCCTTTGAGATTCATTGAACATTTCAATGGCATGTTTAAATCTCGATATGCCCCTCTAGTTTGTGACTGGGATGCCGAGGATCACAAAGCGGGTGTGAATAACCATGCAAACTTACATGGTGCCCTCACATGTTACAGTCACCTATTCGATGTGCCGGTAAACCACACACGCTCCACCGAACTATGACAAACATTGAGTCACCCTTTGCTACCTTTGCTTAGAACCATTTAGTGTGCCGGTAAACCACACACGCTCCACTAACGTCTTCGCAAGGGCACAAAGTGTAATTTCATGGAATTGCATCAATTCACTTTGCCTAAGTAACTAAGATTGGGAATTTGTGAAAACATTTAGTTACTTTTGTATTTCATTATACTTATAATGGAAGGTTTCGTCCTATCCTACCCGTTCGGCTAACGACCCTCCACTAGTCAAGAGTGCGGTGGGTAAGAGTGGATACCCATTCAATCGCCATATTATAGGCAATTTCCTTAAACACCCCTTATAGACCAGCTTCGTGAATGAGGCCTACTAACGGTAAGACTGACTTTTACTCATACA